TCGCCCACCTGCTGTAGCAGGTATCGCACCTGCTGGTGGGTGCAGCTCCCGCATGTTCCCTCGTTGGAGGCTTGAGCACGGATGTGGCTACTACTGGGTTCCCGTAAGACTATAATGACAATATAAAAAATGCCTGTATAATGACAATATAAAAAATGCCTGAAAGGCCGTCCTGTCTAGATTTGCCAGGTAATTGAATTGGTTGGCCTTATAAACAAAAATATTATCATCGTTGATCTTCTTTTTTCTTCTTTTTCTTTTTTTAACGGGCCCAGTGCCCAAGGCTGATATTACCAATGACAATTTTGAGGCCGGGGTCCTCACAGTTTACCTCACAGTTTACCTGGGGCCAGGTCCCGGTAGCAAAGAGGATTGGATTGAACGCCTTAATTTGGCCGCGTTTGTGGACAAGTGCAGAAAATCGAGATTGAAATCCTTTTCTGCATGGCTGCCTAAAACACGCCCAGATTCAGGATCTTAATCCAATCCCCATTGCTAGTGGGACCATGCTCCACGGGCCAAGTCTCACTAGCATGGTTGAGTTTCCTCAACCCGTGAATCTGGACGTGTTTGTTGAGATGTGCAGAAATGGCGTTGAGTTCCTCAACCGCACATGGCCACAAACGCGTCCAGATTCAGGGGTTGAGGAAGGTTGAGGAAACTCAAAGCTGCTAGTGGCACTTGGCCCCCGAATGAAAGATCAGAACCTGAGGCTGAGAACCGGCCTCAGCTTCACTCAAGAGCTCTGATGCTGATACTAAGGGTCTCGTTAGACACTCCTAAAAAAGCCTGTTTTTAGGATTGCGTCTTCCTTGCACGCAATCCTAAATCCAATTCCGAGATTGAAAATGTGAAAACGTCGTTAGGACGAGTCCTAAAGGATTTAGGATTCCCCAGGCAAAATCGTCCTAAATTTTCCAGTAGCCCCCGACCTACTGAAAAATTTAGGATTCCCGTGTTTCACGGAGTTGTTGCGTGGCGCGCATGGCACCGTCGACAGTCGTTGGTGGTCCAGAAGCGGTCCGTGGAGTCGGTGGTCGGACATCGGAGGTTTTCTGCGGCCCGACACGGGCAACGACCACGAACGGTAGCCGTTGGCAGAGGGGGTGGAGCGCGGGGAGGGGCCGAGCGGGGGCGGGTGGGCGTTTGTGGTGGACCGTTGGCTCGGCTGCGGGAAGCGGAGGAGGACGACGATGTGCGCAGGACGACATACGGAGTTGCTTCGGGCAGTGCGTGGGCGCCAACGGTCGAATTTCAAATCGAAGGCAGGCACCTTTGTCGTCTTCTCTGCTGGTTGTCGGCATATGAAGGTCGAGCGACCCTATCCCCCGGCATGTCGGAACACTCTTCTGCAGTAGTCGCGTGCGAGGGTGGCTCCCGAGGTGAATTTCATGGCTGACGTGCAGAGGAGATTGCCTCTGCTGGTACTCGTTGTCGTCATGTTCCTGATTGTCGTCTTCCTCCACGTGTGTTTGTCGTGGCGGTCGTGGAAACAACATCGCAAGAGGAGGGCGTCAACGAAACGGGCGGCAGGGGAACGTCCGATGGCGGGCATGCAGGCACGTGCAGGTGTGGGTGCAGGTCAGGAGACGACCCGCGACGTCAGAGCCTCCACGCCGGTACGACCCATCTTTGTACACCCAACTAGAGTCGTGGGAGACGCCACTGCCCCCGTCGGATGAGGAGGCGGAGACGGAAGAACTTCCAACGTTGCCTCTCACTAGCAGGTCGACGCAGATGTTGTCGCAGACGGTGCGAGTACACGGGTCGGTCAGCAACGAAGGTGGGGAGTTCGCCTCACTCCTGCGGCCAGGTTTGGGAAACGAAGATGACGAAGGACTTCATCTGAGGTTCGGGTTGTCTTCTGGCAGCACAAGGGAGGTGACCCATACGTTCATCGTCGACGTCGATCCTTCGCCACGTGGCATTCAACGTTGTGGAAGTCAGCATGCCGAGAAGACCACCCTTCGTGGCGGTGCGTCCGTGACTGCAGCTGTTGGGCCGTCGCCACCAACCCGGCAGCATGGATCGACTGCAGCATCCGCCGAAAGAATGACGAGTACCTGCCCCGTACGCAGTGGAATCACAGCAGGGTCGCCGCTCTTCGACGGTGGGCAATCCTCGATGGCCAACCGCACAACGCTGACCCAAGCAGACGCAAGGGACGAGCCCGCTTGCAAAACACCGGTGCGTCCTGGACCGACTGTCGAGAACATCACACTAGGAGTGTCCAACATGCGGGCACACAGCGATGGCGGCGATGACAACACCGACGGCGGTGACGATGCCGATGAAGGATTGAGGACGGACGTGGAACCAGGCGACGACGACGAAGACATTCAAATTCGGTCATAAGGGAAGACAGCTGGGAGGGCGAAAGGACGCAGTAGAGGTGTTGTTCGTGGTCGATCCGTTGGACGTGGCGGCAAAGGAGGCGTAAGTGACGACGGCGGGAAGTCTGTGACGTACTGGTCTACGGAAGACCAACTGCTCCTAGTGAGGTCCAAGCGGGGGCAAAACATGCACCTCGCCGGGCTGGCTCACAATTACGGGCGGATGAAGACGAAAGACTGGAAGTGGGAGGACATTGCGAAGCGGATGGCGAACGCGGGGAGGCCTAAAGACGTCGACGAGTGCATCAAAAAGTGGGACAATCTGTTCCAGAACTACAAGAAGATACAGAGGTTTCAGAATGCCAGCGGCATGGCAGATTTTTTCAGGTTGTCAAATGAAGAGAGGAAGGAGAACAACTTCAAGTTCCGGATGGACAGGGTGTTGTACAACGAGATCCATGGAGGCATGCTGGGGAACCACACAATTTTCCCTCCCAACGTCGCCGACACCGGCAGTCCGGACGGGGTGCAGCTGCCGAGGCAAGGAGCGACTGGTGGGGAGTCTGTGGGCAGTGAGGCCGGGGGTGATGGTTGCCCTGAAGAACTTCCTTTGGCGAGGGACTCCGACAACAACGCAGGCAGTGGGGCTGGAGGATGGAGGCGGGAAGCGAAAAAATGCACGTCAACAGGCGTTGGAGTCGATCGCTGACGTCATGGACCGCCATGGCGAACTGATGTCGTCGACGATCGATTCCTCTAGCAAGTGACAATGCAGCATTCTGGCGAGGCAATGCGACAGACTCGAGCAGGAAGTTGCAGTTCAAAAAGCGCACTACGCGACGTCAGATGAGACGCAGAGGATGATGTGCCATACGCTTATGGAGATCGCTGCCGCCATCCGTGGCCGGTCGACGATGTAGGTCGTTCGATGGTGTGTTGATTGAAGTCCGTACATTGCTTGCATTCAGTTTACATTCTTTAATATTTTTTTTTCCTTGTTTCGTTCACGAATTCTTTTAGCGAAGAGGACGGTGGTAGAGCGTCTGCTGATGGCGTGTCCAAGACACGACTCCGGCAGGGAAATTGACGTGATGGAAGAGCCGTCCACGTGCCACATAACAGCATTCGTGGCACGAAGTATTTTTTTGGCAATTTTTTTTTTTTTGTCGCATTTCATTGATGATCATGCCATTGAAGGAGTCGGGTGGATGGTGGGGGGGGAGTGCAGGGCTTCGCTTGGTGATGGGAGGGTGGGGTTGTGGGGGGGGGGGGGGGGGGGGGGGGGGGGGGGGGTGGTGGGGGGGGGGGGGGGGGGGGGGCCGGCTGGTGTTGGGAGGGGGAGTCGGAGCGGTGCAGGTGGGGGGGTGTTCGTTTTTTTCTGCTTGTTGTCGCCCCTGGAGGAAGGGGACGGTGTGGTGGGTTCGCTTTTGGGTGTCGTCCATTGTCTTGTCGTCCTGTTGGGTCGTCTGCCTGTCGGGGTGATCGTCCCTCTGATGTTTCGCATGATGTGTTCATGCGTGTCACCATCGACCTTCCACTGTTGGGACGACTTTGACGCCCACATTATAAAACTGAGTCCGCACCAGCCCTATCTAGTCTGGGCAGTGCATCGTCGACCACTCCTGCCAAGCGTGTACGTACGTCCGTGCGCTCCCGCTGTGGCGTTACTCTCCTTGCCGTAGCGGATCATGTGTTGCGGCCAGTCCCTCGACACGACCTTTGCCGCCGCGCAGTCGTCCATGGGCTGCCGTCATTCGCTCGCCTGCTTCCTGCATGTCTTCGTCGGTAGACACGTCTTCGCCATCACCGTGGTCGATCGTCTTTAGAAACGGGAAAATCGTCTCCACCGACATCCAACGCGTCTTGTTTCTCCACTGCTGCTCATCGCTGGCTCGCCTTCGCAACGCGATACTCCAGGGGTGATTACCTCCGCCGCGTCGACGTCGACACCTCCGTTCAAGATCTTGTATCGCTCCCCTTCCCGCGTGTGGCATTCGGTGGACGGCGCTGCAACTTTCCGCGCAATCGTTTAGTGTTGCCATGGCTCCGAAGGGAGGAAGCACCGGTCGCGGGTAGGGAAAGAAATGTGGTGCAGCTCATGAGCAGACTGGGGGGGGGTTAGGAGGAGGGTGTAATGTCGCGAAGGCAAAATGGAGCCGTCAGGACGCCGCGTCAGTGAGCGGCACGAAAGTTGAGGGAGATGGGTGGGGAAGACCAGGCGACAACGACGACAACGACGTGTTCACAAACCCCGATGCTGAAATTCCACCGCCCGTTATGCCTGCCAATGTCCACGAACGCCCTCCAGCACCCTCGCTGGTGGCTCGGACACACACCCTGCGCATCATCAACACTGATGTCAATGAAGTCGTGCGGGTGGACAATGGCCAAGGGGATGCCATGATCGCACCTGTGACGACGCCGCAAGGGAGGAATCGCCCTGTTGCCGGAATCGGGCCATCTGCGACCACCCAGGAAGGGGCTATGGCAGCGACGTCGCGTAAGCAAGTTGCAGGCGACGAATGTGGTTCTGGTGGTGTGCGCAATGCAGGCGCGGCGGGAGATCAGGCGCAGACACGCCTCGCGGGTGTTGACGTCGACCACGTGGAAGGCACACCGCGAGGAACGGGAGAGGAGGACCGCAGGCATCGGAGCTCGCGCGTGTGGACAAAAAAAAAGCGACGGACGATGACGAACCGCTCGTGTGCAGGGTCCGCAAGGGCGGAATGGTGAAATAACTCGCGAGGTCGATAGTGGGGTAGAATAAAAGATTTTGGCAACGCATCTCATCAAGTCAAGACTAAAGCAGTCGACTACCTTATCGGCTGCATCTATATTATTGTCGATAACCAACTTCTTGTTCACGGTTGTATGATTGTTTCGTGGTGTTCGACCTGAGGCGGTCGGATTGTATTTTGATTGTGTGATTTATTATGATCTTGTGATATCCGGTATATCAGATGAAGATTTGGATTCTCTCAGTTATCATTTCAGATTGGATATATTCCTATCGACTACGGTCGATTCCTTTCGATGTAACTATGTATGGTTGTTACAATTTTTTTTTGATTGTGTGTTAAAAAAACTAGGATTAATGTTGGGTTTCACGCTTGGTCAAGACCGTCCTAGTCGGCTGACGTTTGTTCCGTACCTAGGAGATCGGCGCCCTAGGAACGGACGACGTTCGGGTTCGCTTGGCGTTAACCAAGTGTATCTATACTACAGCGAACGAGCAAACACCCTCGAGTGACCTACCTCTGCAATCGCATCTAAAAGCCTTTGCACGTGGGTCAGTAGCTCGGTAGGGATACGCCCCTAAGGGTGGTGACAACCCTTTAGGGAAGGAAAGTTTATGCCCCGCGGGAACCTATCCAGTCGTAGGGGACCGCGAGATGTATAGCTGGCGCACCCGGCTAGAGCGGCGAAGGGACGACACGACCACGGTCGTCTCGGCGGTTCGTGACAGCCCCTTAGGGAAGGAAAGTTTATGCCCCGCGGGAACCTATCCTGTCATAGGGGACCGCAGGATGTATAGCTGGCGCACCCGGCTAGAGCGGCGAAGGGACGACACGACCACGGCCGTCTCGGCGGTTCGCGGGGTTTTTATGCAGCGTTCCCAAGTTGTCTCTTGATTTCGTTTATTTTGTTAAAATCCTGCGTGACATGGTCGGGAGGGCTCCCATGCTTTGCAGAAAGGCGGGAGCCGATGCGCTCGACAACGTATACTCAAAATTTTGATTTTTTTAAAACCTCCATTATTTATTTTGCTCCGAAATCATGTTAGAAAGATGGTTGCTCAATCCATGTTCCTCAAATTTTTCACAGTTTTTTCGATACTTATTCTGATTACGAAAAATCATAAAAGGAGACGCACTCAATATTTGCAACAAGTTGTCGACCTTATGTGGTCAAGCCTATTGGCCATTGTTAGATCACAAAATTCCTATAGTCTAAAAAAATCCAGTTTTCCAAGACTTTGGGTCCCTTTTTTGGCCTTCAGCCACAAGGTAAGACTGGTCCTATGCTTTCAATGTAACGATAGGGCAAACAAATAGTTGTTTGTTCTTTGCAAAAGTGTGAAGAACTGATAGTCGTACAACTTCCACCCCGATTATACCCTATTAAGACTGGTTGCCTGCCACAAAAATTTAGGCCACCTTGACAAAGGCGGTGCAACCTACTACACTGTTGCCTCAGGGTTATGAATAGGGATGCTTGAGAGAGAAATGCTTGTATGGGATGTTTACGTACCAGAGAGCTAAGTGACGCGGTGGGCGAAGACGCAAGGCGGCGCGATGGGCGACGACGCAAGGAAGTTAGGCGAGAGAAGGGTAAGTATGAGAGAGTTGGCGACGAGGTGGACGGTGGGATAGCGCGCGGTAGGAGATGGGTTTGATGGGTAGTGACGGGGAACAACCACGGGTGGTAGGGTAGGGGGGAGGGTGGGGCAGATGGGCAGAGGGGTGAGGAGGCGTCAGACTAGGTTAGGACGTGTCGTCTTCGTCTTTTCAAAAACCCTTCCCTCATCCTCAACAGTATGGTATGGGTATAGTTATGGTGGATTGAGCCCTCTGTGGCGACTTGTCAACAGGTTTGGCGAGGGGATGCCACACCGTCCTCGGTTTCCTTTGGGGGATCGAAGATGGTCGTTCATGTCTTTGGTGCTAGCTTTGCTTTGAACCTAGATGCTTGCAGTGGGAGGAAGGGAGTTCCTCCCCCAAAGACGCAGGGGTAGGGTTTGAGGGGTGTGAGGTAAGTAGCTTGGTTGAGGAAGAAGGGATGGGAGACTGCTTCTTATTGGATTAGGATTCAGCTTATACGTGGCTTGCCTGTCTTATAATTCGAACTCTACTGCTAATCTTCGAATAACTTTTCGTTGATGATTTCAATTCATGATTCGTGAACTTCTTGATAAAAGGATTCCAATGATGTGACATATCAGAATTTCAATTGAGAGTTTCACATTCTGTTGTATGCTATTTCCCCTGATTTCTCTTGAGTTATGGTCGCTTTTCTGGAAATTTTCCAGAGGTTGGTTTTTGAATGATTTCGTTTTAAAAATTATGATTAGCTTAACATCTGATTCATGACATTTTATGTGTTTTTTGGATGAAATTGATCCCTCATCCGAAATTCGTTTTTCTATTATGAGCAAGATCCTTAACGTTTTAAAAATTATGATTAGCTTAACATCTGATTCATGACATTTTATGTGTTTTTTGGATGAAATTGATCCCTAATCCGAAATTCGTATTTCTATTATGAGCAAGATCCTTAATCTGAAATTCGTATTTTCTTTGGATGAAATTGATCCCTTATCCGAAATTCATATTTTGTATTCTGAGCAAGATCTTTAATCTGAAATTCGTATTTTCTGAGCAGGATTCGTAATCTTCCTGAAGTGAAATTCGTAAATCAAAGTTCTACTCTGATTCCAATGAATGGTTACTCAATTTTGATTTACAAAGGGTTACAAACTGATTTTTTCAAAATGGAATTGATATCCTACGTTTACTCATCTTTGATCTAATTCAAAATCTGATGTAGGTTTTCGGAAGCTGTAGTTCAACTTTGCTAGGAGATGGTCTTGCAAACGAAAGGGGGAAGGTCGAATTAGAGGCAGGTGGGAAGTGGGGGGGTTCACTCAGAAGAGGGATCGGTGGTTCAGGGCGGGAAGTTTATCATCAGAAGGGTGGGTGGAACGATATTGGCCGATGCTGGAGCATTCGTTCTGTGACCAAGGGGAGCTTGAGGCCATTAAAGTTATGCCGAGGGTGGAAGGCATAACCATCTCGCCCGACGTAGCTGTTGCCGGGGCGATGACCTTGTAACCTTTTAAGGGGCTTTACAGTTAGAGGGAGTTGTCGAGGGGGAAGACACTCTCTGTCCGTCAGAAACAATTAGGTCCGTGCTGGGGCAGTTTGTATTGCCTTGTAATCCTAGCAGGGGGGGTATGAGATCTGATGATTTCTGGTACGAGGATTGAAAGCCTAGGCGACGTGTCCTTCATCTATGGTGAGGGAAGGAGATGGATTGTTCGTGGTTCTTGTTCTTGTCCTTCTTCCTTTTGGTTTTCTTAAATGGGAAGGTGAAAGTTGGAAATATGGTTTGGAGGAATTTTGGGTGGGCACGTGCAGTAGAGAAAGGGTTGCTCAGTGTTGTAAGTCCACTAGAAGGGCGGAATGGGGCGACTTTGGCCGGTGCTGGAGCAGTGGCTCTGTGACCAAGAGGAGCTTGAGGCCATTGGAGTTATGCCGAGGGTAGAAGGCATAACCACCTCTCTCAACGTTGTTGATGCCGGGGCGGTAACCCTGTAACCCGCTAGGGGGTTTGCATCTAAGGAATTAGTTGAGGGAGGAAGACACTTCCTGTCCATAAAAAAACAGTTAGTTCGGTGCTAGGGCAGTTTGTGTTGCCTTGTAACCCAAGTTAGGGGGGCGTGAGAACTGGCGATTTCTGGTGTGAGGACTAAAAGCCTGAGCTGCGGTTTCTCGTCTGCAGCGAGGGTCTGAGTTGGATTGTTGGTGGCTCTATTCCTGATTTTCGTCTTTCTGTTTTTCACAGTTTTTTTTTTTTTTTTTCTTCTGAATATGCTCTTGAAAAAACGTTGGCTGTTTGGTGGCCTTAAGAATGTTTTAGGACTTTGGGGACTCCTAGCAACTTGTCTTAGGTGGCTTCGATGTTGTAATACTCAGTGATCTGCGGCTGTTCGATGTCAGAACGACGCTGGCCGGTGCTGGGGTGTTGCCCTGTAACCTGCTGATGCAGGAGCGTGAGGCCTGGTAGAGAGATCTGGGGATGCTTTGGGGTGGGCATTCCACGGGACAACCAAGGGTTGCTGCTGGGACGACGCTGGTCGGAGCTGGGGTGAGTCGTGTTGCCCTGTAAGCCAGCAGGATGTGGGGGTGTGAGGCCTGGAAGAGCTCGGCAGGAAGTAAGACAGTGTTGGAGAACTTTGGAAGGTTTTGTTAGGGATTCCGAGGTTTTTGGAGCTTTTGCAGGACCTCTGCGGTCTACTTCCATACTTCCTGAATTACTGTAAGTGTTCTCAGACGTTTTCTCAGCCGAAGCCGGGTAATGGGCCCGGCATTGCAAAAAAGAGATCGAGGGAGTGAGAGAAGGATATCATGCGTCCTGCTAGTGAGGGGGCTAGCTGGTAGGATGGGAATAGGGTATAGCAGCAGCGGAGATGGTGGCTCTGCTGCAGTAAGCCTTGCCGGAGTGGGGTACAGGGGATTGATTGGCGGTGTCTGAGTCTTTTTCCATATTGTGCATATGATTTTGTTCAAAAAATTAAAAAGGGTGAGTGGGGTTTTCAAAAACAGAGATGGTGGGATATCAAGCATCCTACTAGTGAAGGGGCTAGCCGGTAGGATGGAAATAGGGTACAGCAGCAGCGGAGATGGTGGCTCTGATGCAGTAGGTCTTGCCGGAGTGAGGTCAAGAGGATGGATGGGGGGTTCCTGAGTCGTTTTCTGAATTTTGTCTAATTCCGAAGTCTGTCGTAGTAATTTCCTAATTAGCCCCAATTTTTCTTAGCCAAGCCGGGTAATGGTCCCGGTATCTCAACTTTCAAAGTCTATGTAAATTTTCATATGGGACGCTGGGCCCGGTTCCCAGCACGTGGTGCTCCCCACGAATAGATTGGAGCCGTGTTCCCATCAAAAAAAAAAAAAAAAAGTTGTACCCCATTCCCCCATACCACCATATACAATAGACTTGCCACAAATCAATATTTATGCGGTTGTATTGTAGGTGTACGTGGGTTACCGTACGGGCGATGTAAACAACATACATTCATATATTGTATACAACAAGATACAAAGGTCTCATGCTCTCAACACATTTGTACATCAGCACATGATGCGTGACCTGATGTACAAAGCCCAAGATAAAATGCAAAGGGTATAGAAACGCATGTAGTAGTGGGTCAAGCAGCACTGGTAGGTGGTGAGAAAGGATCAGGCTCAAAGGTGTATAACTTGGCATGTACATTAGCTGAGGACAAGAGAAAGCACCTTCAGCTCAGCACCAGGCGGCTGCAGAACAGCGCTGGTTAGCACTAAAGATGAATGCAGCACAAAGCGAGCGTGGACGTCTGCAGCGGTTTTGGACAACCAAGCACTTACTTGTGCACCATAGCTTGGAGTTTGGGTGTCGGCCAGAGCCTGACTTGCTCTGTGATCTGATGTGGTTCTGTCTCTTATACACATCTAGATGTGTATAAGAGACAGGTGGAATGTACCATACCATATACTATTACTATTATCTTTTCTTTTTCTTCTTTTATTCTCTCCATTCACCTTTCACTAGTACCCCCCTTCTCCTAAGGCTATACAGGGGTTCCCTATATTATACTACCCCCCTTCAAGGGGTTCCCTGTATTGGCGTATATACTCACAGTATCGCAAAATCGCAAAATCAGCGGCCAGATCGTGTACTTGTAAAAGAAGGCCACGATCTGGCCGCATTTTTTTTTTTTCCCTCTTTCGGTACTTTATGACTTCGAGGGGCCAAGTCCCACTAGCAGCGTTGAGATAACTCAATGCCTGAATCTGGACGTGTTTGTCGAGACGTGCAGTTTCTGCACATCTCCGCAACGACGTCCCGATTCAGGCGTTGAGGTAGCTCAACGCTGCTAGTGGGACTTGGCCCGAGGGCCTACTTTGGAGTACTGGATCTGGCGCAGATTTTGTCGATTTTGCGGCTTCGAGGGCCTCGTGTGAGTATGCCCTTATTATATTATCAAAAAATAGGTCAGTCTCCCGTCGTTCCAGATGTGCTCTTCATTCTTCATCCAGCGGCCTAGCTCAGTTGGCAAGGCACGCAAGTCGCATTCAGGAGGTCTTGGGTTCAATCCCCATTCGCCTCATGTACCTTCCTGGGCAAGCTTGGCGCCGCCACCTAGAGATATGCCGTTGGTCCCCCCGAGTGGCATTGAGCAGAGACTGCTGATGTTCATAGGGGGAGGGGACCGGAGGGGAGGCACAGTGACTGGCCCATCGAAGAAGCTCGAGTGGCATTGAGCAGAGACTGCTGATGTTCATAGGGGGAGGGGACCGGAGGGGAGGCACAGTGACTGGCCCATCGAAGAAGCTCGGTCCTGATGCTACCGGCTGACCCCTGGCNGAGAGAGAGAGAGAGAGAGAGAGAGAGAGAGAGAGAGAGAGAGAGAGAGAGAGAGAGAGAAGGGGGAAGGGGGGCAGGGGGCAAAAGCAAATTGACTTATCTAGGATAAAGCCTGTTGCATATCCTTTAGGGCCGAAAATTGGATTGTAATTAATAATTAATGACAGCTATAAAACATCAAGATCCCTGTATTACTTGGAACGGAACATCGGATTCCAGGTACAGCGACAGTTGTACCAGGTCTACGGCATTTCCACCATTTATTATTTTATTTTATTATAACAAGTGATTATTAACCACCCACCTATAGCCAAAAGAGGTACAACGATTGTTGTACCTACCTGATCTGCTAGTCTTATCCTATTTGTTATCCCCAGTACCAGCCCAGTGGTGCTACGTTCACACTGGGAAAGCAGGAACTTGCTGTGATTAACACAGCCAGCAGGGGCTGTCCCACCTGAACCCCCAATTAAAAAGGAGGCCTAAAACCCAAATGACATCCAGCAGGGCTTGTCATTCCAAAAGAGCTCCAGTTCTGTAGAGGGGGCAAGGCCCCATTTGCACAGATTAAATCACCAGTACTTCCGAAGAGTGTGGCCTTGTCCTTCAGGGGCATCCGGCAAAATAGGAACAATACAGAGAAGACTGCACAAGATCGGGTTGCGATAAACCATGGAAAAGAGAGTGCAGTGACGATGCCAGATCGCACAGAAGCGAGTCATGAAGGTGGTGGGCTGCAGGCCCGCACATCCGCAGGAATATCGGGTGGGCGGGGCCGCTTCGCCAGAATCAGGCGAGAAGAACGAGTGGCCCTCTGAGTGATCTGTTGATGAGGTGTCGTGCGTGCGCAGGTTCGCATGCGCGATGAGTCGACGACTGGCGCGGCTTGCCGAGCACCTGACGGAACAGCACGAGAGAGCATCAGTCAACCTGCAGTCACTGGGCAATCCCCAGTCTCATATACTCTCGCGGGTCCAGTGGCTGGAGCAGCGAGGACCGGCGAGGCAGCCAGCACTCGATCCTGGGTACGTAATCCGAACCACGAAGCCTGGTTGCATGTGGTTGTAGTTGTCCAGCGTAGATGTCAACGGCCCTTGCGAATGCAGCAATCTGAAATGAAGTCTCGCCGCAGATGTGCTGAATCAAGGGTCTGTGGGTGGGCAGTACCAAAGTCCCGGAGGTCAGCAGTACCAACCGTAGGGTCCCGATGGAAAACGGGCCTTGCGAATGCAGCAATCTGGAATGAAGTCTCACCGCCGATGCGCTGAATCAAGGGTCTGGGTAGGTAGTACCAAAGTCCCGGAGGTCAGTAGTCCCAGCCGTAGGGTCCCGATGGAAAACAACAGCCGGTCAACGGGCCTTGCGAATGCAGCAATCTGAAATGAAGTCTCGCCGCCGCCGATGTGCTGAATCAAGGATCTGGGTAGGCAGTACCAAAGTCCCCCAGCAATCTGAAATGAAGTCTCGCTGCCCCCGATGTGCTGAATCAAGGGTCTGGGTAGGCAGTACCAAAGTCCCCGAGGACTGGAGGTCAGTAGTCCCAGCCGTAGGGTCCCAAATTCCCAATGGAAAACAACCCCTGACCCGCCGTAACCATCTAAATGACAAGGGCCGACCGAGTACCAACCAGTGACGTCAACTGAAATAGGTCAGTTGCTAGCATGGCCCCAGTGCAAGGGTGACCCACATAAATATTGCTACCACCGTCCTCCCCCGAACATAACGCACCCTAAAAATGAATGTATACGAGTTATATTTTTCTGGCCAGATACAGCCAAAATGAGGGTGCGTTGTGTTCGGGGGAAGACGGTAGCATGGCCCCTGTGCAAGGGTGACACACATAAATAAAAAATGGTCCGAATTATAATAATAAAAAAAGGGAAAAAAGAGTCTGGCCGCTGCCATGCTACAGTGCTGCGACGGGTTCGCACGAATTTGTGCATGCGCGGCAGGCACATTCATCCCAGCGAGTCACTTTCAGGAAGTGCTGGTGGTCGTTGTCCATTTGATCATCAACGGACGGACAGTTGGGCTCACTCAACGAGAACGTTGGGCTAAACGAGAACGTTGTCAAGATACATGCAGAATGTTGAGTAGCGCTACGACGCCCAGTATCTCTTCGCGGTTCCAAACCAGGGGCTAGGTCCCACTTACACGAATTAAGCGATATTGACCGTAGATAGCACAGATCAACAGCCAGATTCTCTTAATCCCACTCGTAATATAGCAAAGATTAACGGCCAGATTCTCTTAATCCGTCCATGCAAGTGGGACCTTGCCCCTGGATAGGCCAAAGAGAGCCCTCTAGGAATGAATTCGCGTCCAAGACTCAGATTTTGGGCCACAATGGCATCCGCGGAATATATACCCTAGGTTATGCCCGCCTCCCTCCCCCCCTCTGCCCCCCCCCCACCCCTTTTCTCTTTGAGGTCCCCTTTTGACCCCCCTTTTTACCCCCCCTTCGAGACGCAGCGATCTCTGGGTAAGGCACATGAAGACCGAGAAGCCGAATTCGTGGATGGCAAAGAGAAACCTTCGCCTGGGGCACAACTTGTACCCCTGGATGGCACCAAGGAACCTCGGATGGCACCAAGGAACCTCGGATGGAAAGAATTCCGCGTGTTGGAAGAGTCCGTGGACCCAAAACCCGACTGTAGGAACAGATGGTGGGCCAGAATTGGTACCTCAGGCCCACGAGCTGGAACACAGAACGTGCATGGGTTCTTCCAAGTCGATGGAAGAGAAGGTGACGTCAAAGGTATTCTTGGATTGGATGAAGTCTGGAACAGCAGTTGGTACACACAGCAACTGTGAAAACACAGAGCCAAGTTCGAATCCAGATGCCGCCAATGTAATGCAATGATGAAAGGTCGTGAAAACTAGCCATGACAATGTTCGATAGCCTGGAACCGGGAGCATTTATGGCTTCTGTGTATCCGCCTTGGAGGGTGTTGGCCCGTCGCCTCCCTTGCGGGCAATGAATGCTACGTGGCAGGTTGCGCGGTTCCCCTTACCTCCTGGCACCTGCTCATTTCAACCAGCCTTCTCTGTAAAGGTCACCGCGGTACAATATCTGCAATACGAAGCTCTGAGCTCTCCCTCTCTATTTCAACTTATCCCTATCTGTTACTGCCGCCCGC